ACACAGTAAACTGTCTTAGCTATAAAAAATAAACTGTTATCACTACACACAGTAAACTGTCTTCACTATAAACAATAAACTGTTATCACTACACACAGTAAACTGTCTTCACTATAAACAATAAACTGTTATCACTACACACAGTAAACTGTCTTAGCTATAAACAATAAGCTGTTATCACTACACACAGTAAACTGTCTTCACTATAAACAATAAACTGTTATCACTACAATACTGTGCAAACCGTCTTAGCTATAAACAATAAACCGTTATCACTACACACAGTAACCATCTTCACTATATGCAGTAAAATGTTCACTATTTGCAGTAAACTGTCTGCAGTATACACAGTAAACTGTCTTTACTACACACAGTAAACTGTTTTCACTATAAACAATAAACTGTTATCACTACACACAGTAAAATCAGTTCACCATAAACAATAAACTGTTATCAATTACACACAGTAAACGCCTTCACTATAAACAATAAACTGTTATCACTAAGCATACAGTAAACTGTCTTAGCTTATAAATAATAAATCGTTATCAATGCTTAACACAGTAAACCGTCTTCACTATAAAACAATAAACTGTTATCACTACACACAGTAAACTGTCTTAGCTATAAAAATAAACTGTTATCACTACAATACGTAAAATGTTCACTATATACAGTAAATTGTCTGCAGTATACACAGTAAACTGTCTTTACTACACACAGTAAACTGTCTTCACTATAAACAATAAACTGTTATCACTACACACAGTAAACTGTCTTCACTATATGCAGTAAACTGCCTTCACTATAAACAATAAACTCATCACTACGCACAGTAAACTGTCTTCACTATATACAGTAAAATGTTCACTATATACAGTAAATTGTCTGCAGTATACACAGTAAACTGTCTTCACTATAAACAATAAACTGTTATCACTACACCCAGTAAGCTGTCTTCACTACACCCAATAAAATACCTTCACTAAACACAGTAAACTTTCTTCACTATACAATTTATGCAACTTCACTATACAATAAACTACCTTCATTACACCCAGTAAACTGAATTCACTACGTACAGTAAACTCTCTTCACTATACACAGTAAACTGTCTTCACTATACCCAGTAAGCTATCTTCACTACACCCAGTAAAATATCTTCACTATACACAGTAAACTGTCTTCACTATACAGTAAACTGTCTTCACTACACACTAAACAACTTCACTATACAGTAAACATTCTTCACTATACACAGTAAACTAGCTTCACTATATGCAGTCAACCATTTTCACTACACACCGTAGATTATCTTCACTACTACACAATAAACTTCCTTCACTATACAGTAAACTACCTTCACTATACACAGTAAACTGTCTCCACAACTCACAGTAAACTATTTTCACTATACACAGTAAACTGTCTTCACTACACACAGTAAACAATCTTCACTATACAGTAAACAGTGTTCACTATACACAGTAAACTAGCTTCACTATATGCAGTCAACCATTTTCACTACACACCGTAGACTATCTTCACTACTACACAGTAAACTACCTTCACTATACAGTAAACTATTTTCACTATACACAGTAAACTGTCTTCACTTCACACAGTAAACAATCTTCACTACACACAGTAAACAATCTTCACTACACACAGTAAACAATCTTCACTACACACAGTAAACTGTCTTCACTACACACAGTATACGACTTCACTATACACAGTAAACTATCTTCACTACACATAGTAAACTGTCTTCACTACACACAGTAAACAATATTCACTACACACAGTAAACAATCTTCATTACACACAGTAAACTGTCTTCACTACACACAGTAAACAATCTTCACTACACACAGTAAACAATCTTCACTACACACAGTAAACTATCTTCACTATACACAGTAAACTGTCTCCACTTCACTGATAAACTGTCTTCCTCCTTGTCCGTAATCTTCTCACGATAAACTTCCACTACCTTAGTATACGACTTCACTACACACAGTAAACAGTCTTCACTACACACCGTAAACAATCTTCACTACACACAGTAAACAATCTTCACTATACACAGTAAACAACTTTACTATACAGTACACAGTAAACTTTATACACAGTAAACATTATACACTATATATCCCGAGAGCCTCTTACTATATTTTCTCGCACGCAGAATTTAGAACATTGCCTCTTGGAAGCTGATAAAATGTTACGAGTATTCTTCTGCGATGGAGACGAAAATTGTTGTCAACAATTTATCGAAAAAACTGTCGGTCACTGGACCACACCACGTGCTCGAGGTGTTGGGTACCTATGGCACCATTGTGAAATACGAAAGGCCAATAAAAACAGATGGAAAACTAGAAAATTATTGTACCGTTACGTTTAAAACGCCAGAAATGGCGTTGAGCGTGGTGGCAGTAGGGCAGGTGATCGTCAATGACCGCCCCCTAACTGTCGAACTGGATAGAACCGTCCCTATCATCCGACCCAAAAATAAGACATTAGAAAACACAGAGACTTCAAATAATATATAGTCGTCTCCAACACTGTCCCAACAGGATGTGACCAACCCAACACTGTCCCAACCGGATGTGACCAACCCAACACTGTCCCAACCAGATGTGACCAACCCAACACTGTCCCAACCAGATGTGACCAACCCAACGCTGACCAGCCCAACATCATCAGAAAAGAATGATAATAAAATGTTCATAAAACACCTTCCACAAAATATTTCGATGGCTAAAATACAAAATTACTTTGGTAAATTCGGGGTGCTATCTAAAATTTGGATAAAGAATGGAAAAAATTTTGGTTTTGTCATTTATGACAATACTGAAGGATTAAGCCGAGCCCTTAGTTGCTCTCCACATGTGATCGACGGCAGCGTCATCGATGTGGAATTGCCGCAAGGGGCGGGCTGTCAGATCTTCATAGGTGGTCTAACTAGTCGGCCTAATGAAGATGACGAAGTCCAGGAAAGGCTCGAGGAGTACGGCCACATCCTTAAGTGGCAGAGACCGCTCTCCGGAGGTCGGCCTGCTCCTTACGCCTTTGTCACTTTTAGTAGTGAAGAAGCAGCTCGACGTGCCGTCGATGCTTAAGCAATCAATATAAATGGGCGGCGCATGGCTATAAAAGTTCCAAAAAACCAAAATATCAGAAATGGATCACAAGTACAGGCACCCCCAACTTTGAAGAGAAAATTAAGCCCAGAAAACGACGACTACATGTACAGAGAAAATCCTAAGCAATACCTCAAACAGGTTGAGGATACTGAGGTCGTGCATGTAGTCACACGAAAATTAAACGAGGATGGTGACGAGGAAGAGTCGCTCGCCCTTTACGGTATAAACGAAACTCCCACCAAACGCCAAAAACAATCAAACGCATACAGCCGGGACGAA